TTGGAGAGTAATGATGCTTGTCTGTATAGCGCCCTCTGCTGGTCAAAGAGAATTGCTAGTGTAATGCAATGAAACTCAAATTAAATGCTATTTGACTGGTGAATAAATCTAGTAATATCGGCACATACAGGTATCTACAATCAAATTAGCCAATACCGATAGTCACTGGATGGGCTAATATCGGCTGATATTATCGGCTGGCTGATAATTCGGTCAGGCTGATTTACTTTCTTCCAGTCTGCCAGCGAAGCTATCAAGTCGGCTGCTGGTGTCCTGACCCTTGCTCCCCGTGATGTGCACTTGAATCGGTCACGGCCAGCTGTGCTGCACACACCAGGCTGCTCTATAGTCACGTCAGCTAATGTTAAACGTCAATGAACAAACGCTATGATGCCAGTTATGTTATTCAAGTGTCTCTGCAATGAATAAGCAACAATATTATTAAAGGGCATACTGTGAAAAATGTGTTTTTGAACATATATGTGGGTAACCTGAGTGTCTACTGACCACAAAATTTGAAATAAACCCATCCAGTCCTTTGTTTGTGGTCTGAATAAGTCTTACAACACAGAGAAAAATGCTCCGTTTCAAATTTGCTCTCCTTGTGACATCACAGTGGGATTTTGGTAAAAAAAAAAAAAAAAAAATCCCCTCCCCTCTCCTGGTATCTCCACCCATGGACTCCACCCCCAGCCTTGAGCAAAACTTTTTATTCTCACTAGTGAAGGAGTGATGTCTACTGGGAAAATTTAGGGAGGGGGGGAGGGGGGGGGGCTCATTGCATTTAAAGAGACACACACCCTAAAACGGAGTGTTCTGAGTGAGCTGGTTTATACAGGATCACAAACCTCCTCTGGTGCTTGATTCATGTTATATTTTGACCAAAGCACAGCACAGATGTTTCATTTAGACCACAGGGGACTGTTTGAAAAGGTTGAGAAGAGGGAGAATATGTCCTCTTTAAGAGACATGTTGTTGTGTCTTAAGTTCATATTGCCATTAATACTGTTAGACTTTTACCTGAGTCTCACTTGTAAATAACCATTTTCTTGAAAGGTGCACTATGGAGGTTTGTTGGTGAAATTTTAAGTTGGAAAAGTGAAACAATTCTATGCTATATCAAACTTGACTATCTAGAGGAAGTAAAAGTCGTAACAAGGTTTCCGTAGGTGAACCTGCGGAAGGATCATTACCGGTTTTGAGATCCCCGCACCCGAGGCCGCGTGGCCCTCGGTGCTGGCGGCGGATATGTCAGAAAAACACATTTGAATGCACAAATTTTACTCAAAGAAACTGGATCTCCTGCTGCCCTTTCCTTTAACAAAGCTTCAAATCCTTTCGCAGCTTGAGAGTCAATATTTCCCCAAGGAGTTTCTACTGTTCAAAAACCACTCATTGACGTTGGGCTTATCGAGCAGGGATATCAGAAACTTGACTTTTACTCCCTGGAAGTAAAGTCCCTGGAGCACTGTTTGGAGCGAACTTATGATGAGGATTGTATCAAGAATTATTAACTGAATCTCCTGCTGCCTTTCCTTTAACAAAGCTTCAAATCCTTTCGCAGCTTTAGAGTCAAGGAGTTTCTATTGTTTAGAAACCACTCATTGACGTCTGGCTTATCAAGCAGGGATATCAGAAACTTGATAAACAAATGATTATCCAAAACTGTCTCAAATGTAAATAGGCGAGTCTTTGGCAACAAGTTTGACAAATTAATTCTAAACGTTGCCATGTTTTGTTTTTAATCTGCTTCCCCCAAGTGCCCAAAAATATCAGTCTTTGCAGGTTTAAATAAAATATTGTGAAATGTTTGAAGTGAAAACCAGAGTCCGTCTTTCGTGTGAGCATGTTGTCCTCATCTGATTTGACTCACTTTGTCCCCGCCTGGCTTGATTTCAAAGAGCTGATGTGAAACTTGTGGTCACAGAGTGCAGAGGGAAAATGCGAGTTTGTTCCTCCACAAACGTCAAGCTTTACAATTTCTCACTTTGTCCTGCTTCTGTTTCTGAGCTTCAACATTAAATCAGTTCGAGGCTCAATAAGAGAGACTTACCTGATACATGATCTCTCCATTATAATATTTATTATATATTCCATTATAACATTGCTTCAGTTTCATTAGAGCGCACATTTTTCGACCTGTGATAAAGTATCACAAGTTTTCTGTTATATTGCTGTGGTCGCCACCTTACAAAGAGGAAGTGAGTCATTCTCAGGTAAGGAAACCAGCGCTTAGCACAGTTATACACTTTATGACACGCTGTGAAGCTACCTAAACCATTTAACCCTTGGACAACTGATGAGGTTGTTTCAGGACGTTAAAATGTTGTTTTTTAGGGGGCGTCAGTAGCCTAGTGGTTGGTGCATAAGCCCCATGTGGAGGCTGTAGTCCTCCGAGCAGGCGTTTCAAATCCGACCTGTGGCTTCTTACGGTGTCATTCCCCTCTGTCTCTCTCTCTAGCTCAGATTCATAACTCTATGACCTGTCCTATTGCTAAATAAAGGCATTAAAAGCCCAAAAATAAACCTTTTAAAAAAAAGTTGTTTGAGTAAAAGTTTAGCTCGTTTAGTCTCTTACTTGAAAACCAGTGGACTGACTTTAAATGTGAATAATACACTTCTTCTTTTTTTACGTCAGTAAGGATTTCTGAAAATGGAGAAAGGATACCCACCACAGGAGTCAGCTCCACCGTACCCGGGGCCGCCTCTGAACTATGGGGGCGCCGCGCCTCAGCCAGAGATGTACCCACAGCCGGGGATGTGCCCACAGCCTGGATTCTACCCAACAGCACCGCCCGCTGGATACCAGGCCGGTCTGTGTCCGCCTGCGTGAAAAGATCATGCTGCTGCTTTTCTAAAGTGTGACATTTATTTCGACACTGTGAGGCTGAACAACAACATTTATCTGAGAACACTAAAGACCTTAGCTATGTTTATTTCTGCTTTTTAAAGCGCCAGTGGGTTGCATGCGAAGGATTATTGAACCATGTTCGGATACAATTCAAAGCGCCAATTAAAAGGTCTGATGAGAAAGTGACAATATTCAAAATTAAAGATTACACTTAAAAGAAGGAATATGCAACATTTTACACATAAATACAGCAGAAATCAAGTCTATCCTGTGTAAATGTGTCTCTGAGTCATGACTGTCTACAATGAGTGAGAAGCTCGAGTCCCGCTGGCTGTGTTGTTGTCAGAGCCTTGTTTACATGGACAGGACGGTAAAAGCTGTTTTAGTCAAGGACTAGAGAGACGAAGAAGAACATACTGATTATTCGAATGACACCTAAGCGTTTTTTCAATCACTGTCATTCTTTGTCAATTTCCATAGATGTGAAGCTACAAGCTAACTAAAGAGCGCTAACATTAGCATGCTAACACAACAATGCAGGCCACAGGTGATTGCAGCTCGAGAGTCGATCGAAAAGTCACACATTCTTCCTTTAAAACAGATATAAGTTTTAGATTCCAAACATATCCACTATAACTTTGCTTCGTTGGTCTTGCTAGCCGCTCTGGTGAAAAATATGCTGACCTCCATCTACCTGAGGTTATCCGCGGTGTATCGCAAACTCAAGTCAACTACCTTTCATACAAACTGCTTCACAAAATAACAGTCATTGTAAAAACACTCCTACATCTGTAGAGAACACTGACATGTAAGCAAACATAATTAGCAAAGTTATAGAGCATCGAATCAAAATTCAGATCTGAATTCTGCTTTCTCACTTTGGTAAACTGTGTGTTTTTTCTGCCAGGTGTTCCCTACGCTCCTCCTGCACCTGCAGCAACAGGTGAGGTCATGCACCTACAGTATGCCAACACGACTGAGATGCATGCATTGTTGTACTTTACCATTTTTCAGAAAAGGGCGTGCACAACCAAGTCAACCCTTCACTAACACACGTAAAGAGATGGTAAATATGTTACGGTTCTAGTTTTAGGAATGAGGAAATCTTGCTTTGTCACAAAGTCATCGGGTGAAATCCTCTCTCTCTGCTCAGAGTCATCGGGAGAATAGCCCGTTTGTGTCGTCTGAGCTCAACAAAAAGCTATTGTTCACTGTTTGTGTGGTTGAGGGTCACCGTATGAGCTTTGCTTATAACAGAGGTCCTTTCACAGGTACATTTCTGATTGTCATGAAATCCAAAAATTTAAAACACACTAGCTCATATGAACTGTGAGCGTCTCATTTGAGGGATTTGTTTTAATTGTCACGTTTAAATGTACGTAATTTTTTAGTTTTTTAAATTTTCCCCCATCCATGGCAGCTTTAAACTTCACTTTTAGAACCAGCATTCACGATTAAACTCTTACTGCTTCAACAGCTTGTTAACTTAAAGTACACAGCAGGGAACAAAGAAAGACAGAAACAGTATCTACTTTTATGTTTAACTTGCTCAGTCTTTTGGCTCCCTCTGCTGGTCTTAACAGTTGCACTAGATGAAGTGTGATTTAAAAGATGAACACTCCTTCATTAATACCTGAAAAAGGAGTTAAAAAGAGACTAAAGAGCAGGTTAAAGACCTTACTCGTTATATTATCTACAAAGACCCAACGTTAATCCATCATGAGCACTCAGCAGCATCTAGCAAAGTTAAAGGTGATTGAAACATCTTCCTTTAAGATGCAGAAATCTTGGGCAAAACCAGACTCATGCTGAACATCCATCAGCCGAAACTAACTAGGTTATGACATTGATTGAGAATTTGAAAATGGAGACCAATCCTATACGTTCTGCTTTGTGCAATTCTCGTCCTCAGTCACTCACCTGGTTGTAACAGCGGGGCTTCATGACAGCCCGGGACAAGCTCTGTGTCCGCACTGCCAGCAGACAGTGGTCACCGTGACGCATCACACAGCGGGCCTGATGACCTGGGGCATCTGTGCCGGCCTCACCTTTTTTGGGTAAAAATACAAACACCGGGTGGAATTTAGTGGGGGGGGGGAAATCTATAAACATTTTCAACAAATGATTTGAAACTTTACAGGCAAACAAAGCAGTTATACAAGCTTTTGTAACTTTAGGGTGAAATAATTGAAACGCCTCCTGCTTCCTGCTTCCTCTTACAGGTGTTTTCTCTGCTGTTTCCTCCCGTTCTGCATTGAGTCCTGCAAAGACGTGGAGCATCGCTGTCCAACCTGCCACAAAGTCATCTACATATTCAAACGGTGGTGAACATTACCTGAATGGAACCACTTTTCTATGGCCTTTTAATAGCCTTACTTGTTTATGCAATGTTTTGATATTAATCTAAATGTTAAAAAATGCACTTGTGACTATGGAGCATCAAACTGGGAGGACTTGATGTCCGCATTCATGTTTGTAATTCATTAAACAAGAGATGTAACCAAAAAAAAGATGCAAAGTAAAAAAACTTTGAGAAAACGAAACCTTACTTTTCTCCTAACTGTGTCAAGTCGTGAATTCATTTAGTGTGGTGTCTTCAAGGTTATGCTGTTTCCATGCCTGATGTTTCACTCTTCACCTTTCTCGTGTTTTATTGTTTTCTGTCATGTTTCAGTGACAAACTTTTAGGACGCATTCCCTTAAGGCCCTGACACACTGAGCAGACGGCAAAGAACTAGTGGTGATGAAGGCAGCCTGTGGCGTCGCCTTTTGTCTTGGCCAAAAAGTTGCACTTGAACACACTGCAAAGACTACAGCCGACGGCCAACCACCACGTACGTTCTGCACATGCATGAGAGGAAATAACTCTCCATGCCAGCAGGGGGCGGTAGTCCGTTGTTATGATACGAGAAGACCATTTTCACACCGCTGTCGCTCACCACTTGCATTATAGGTAGAATACTAATGGAGAATAATGTCTGATAAAAAGTTGAAAATGGCGCTGGCGTTGTCAGCCCTTGGTCTTTTAGTGGAAAAAGAAAAAAAGAGACGGAGGGACAAATAAGGAGAAACCGCACTAATGGGTGAAAGCATGGATACTACAGCGGCATGCTCAAGGGGCTTTCCTGATCCTGTGTCGAGGGGGGTCGAGGGGTAGCAACGGAGCCGGACACATCGCGAAAACTAGGGCGATGACACCCTCTCTGCAGCTAAGCTGTGAAATATATTGGAGTAACCATCAGCAGTTCTGTGTTCTCTGGACTGTTTTTAACAGGCCTGACTGGGGGCTCTGAAGGGAGCAGAAAGGGGAGAATAACTTTTGCACTTGGTGGTTCCCCAATCTTTGTTTCTGCTGGTCAACAGAGGGTGGAAGAGGGCTGAAGCTCACAGACGAAGAAACAATGGATAGGGAACACTGTCGGGCAGGCATGACTCTGAGGTCTTGACTGAATAGCTGAGGTAAGAGGGGGGTTATTTTTGCAATCTGAAAGTGAAAGCCTCTGATTTTATTTAGCTCAGACATTTGCTCAAAGGAAATCTCCTGAGATTCCTTGTGGATGGATCTCTTGCTGGAGGCCGTTTGTGCCGAGCTGATTTTTGAAAACATCTGGTAACATCAAAAGTGAACGTCCAAAATGCACTACATCTATCCATCCATCCATTTTCTTCCGCTTATCCGAGGTCGGGTCGCGGTGACAGCAGGCGCAGTAAGTCAACCCAGACTTACCGCTCCCCAGCAACGTTTTCCAGCTCCTCCTCCTGGGGGATTCCGAGGCGTTCCCAGGCTAGACAGGATTTATAATCCCTCCAGCACATTCTGGGTCTGCCCCGGGGTCTCCTCCCAGTTGGTCGTGCTTCCAAAGGGAGGCGTCCAGGAGGCATCCTTAACAGATGCCCAAACCACCTCAACTGGCTCCTTTCAATGCGGAGGAGCAGCGGCTCTGCTTTGAGTTCACCTCGAATATCCGAGCTCCTCACCCTATCTCTAAAGCTGAGCCCAGACACCCTCTGGAGGAAACTTATTTCGGCTGCTTGTATCCGCGATCTCATTCTTTCGGTCACTACCCATAGCTAATGACCACAGGTGAAGGTTGGAACGAAGATCGGCCGGTAAATCAAGAGTTTTGCCTTCAGGCTCAGCTCCCTCTTCGCCACAACGGTCCGGCACAACGCCTGCATTACTGCTGACACCGAGCCAATCCGTCTGTCGATCTCACGCTCCATCCTACCCTCACTCGTGAACAAGACCCAGAGATACTTGAACTCCTCCACTTGGGGCAAGGACTCACTCCCCACCCGGAGAGAGCAATCCACCTTTTTCCGGCAGAGAACTATGGCCTCGGACTTGGAGGTGGGCCTCATCCCAGCCGCCTCGCACTCGGCTGCAAACCGCCCCAATGCCTGCTGGGAGGTTGCAGCTTGAGGAAGCCAACAAAACCACGTCATCTGCAAAAAGCAGAGACGAGATTTTGAGGTCCACAAAATGGAAACCCTCCTGCCCACGGCTGCTCCTGGAGATCCTGTTCATGAATATCACAAACAGGACCGGTGACAAGGGGCGACCCTGGCGGAGGCCATCACGCACTGGGTGCGTGTCTGACTTTGTGCAGAGGATGCGGACACAGCTCCCACTTTGGTCATACAGGGACCGGATGGCTCGTACCAACGGTCCCCGGGGCCCAATATTCCCGCAGTACCCCCCACGCAGATCCCCAGAATGAATGAAGAAAAAAAAGTGCTGCAAAACCTGAAACATAACTAGTAAAAATGTAAACGGTAAACATGCTGCAAATACATAAACGATGCATAATCATAAAGACATGTTAAAAAAAGAAAAAGGCTAAGTGGATGAGTATAGAGGAAGAAGGGGACACTGAAGGGCAGGTGGGGTCAGCTGAATGTAAGAGCCAGGTGATGAGGACAGGTAAACACAGAGGGAAAGGTAGAATGAGTAAATATAAATAAATACTGAAAAAAACATTTAGATATCAAGCTATCACTGCTGTATCTGCAAAGACTGATATAGTCAGTCAGTCAAGATACATTTTTCCCTTTGTATTACATCTTATGCGAATTCTGATGAACCTACACATTAAAAAAAAAAAAAAAAAAAGTCACTAAAGATCTGAATGGTCATTTCTCGAAAGTCAGGGGGCTCACCAGAAACAGATACCTAAGAACAAAAGTGAAAGTAAGAAACCCTATCCTATAAAAAGCCGGACCAGCCTGCACATTTGCAGAGTCACTCCAGAGCATTCAGAGCAACACAAGAAAAGGTAAGACTCTCTTCATTCTATGATTTTCTTATTAATTTGATTGACGTCAGTTTGTTTTAGACTTCAAGATGTTTATAATGATAAATCTCTTTTTTATAAAGGACTCCTTTTACTGCTGAGTTTTCCTTTTCCCTCTTTGTTTATTTTTCTTGAATGATGTGAACATGGAATTGATATTTATTTAAAAGTTACTTTGACAAACCAACTCTCACATGAACTGTTTTTTATTTTTTTACTGACGAATAAATTGAATGGGCTGCATGGTGGTGCAGTGGTTAGCACACGGTGGTTCCTGGTTTGAATCCCTGTTGATCAGGCCCCTCTCTGTGTGGAGTTTGCATGTTCTCCCTGGGGAAGTGTTTCTCTCTGGGTACTCCGGCTTTCTCCCTCAGTCCAGAGACATTAACACACCACTGTTATATTTTTCAGATATGGGACCTCAACCTTCCAAACCACCCACACCTCCACCTTCTCGTAAGACTTTTTGCACAAATATTAAAATGATACCTGGTCAAATATTGTGACAGTGTTTCTTGAGGTGATGTTGATTATAAGTTTAACCCTTGGTTGTCCTGCTGTTAAGTATACACTACATATACTTTATTAAATATGCCTTTGGGTGTGGGTAAGCAGGAGCACGGGGACATCTTCTGCTGTTTATCTCATACACATTAATATCCGTCTGTAGCATAGCATGACACACCCAGACTGAATAACAACAACAGTGATACATCACTTCACTGGTCTTAAAGCAATATCACTCAGCCAGCCGTAACCATGAGCAACCTTAAAGGCAAAGTGCATCATCAGACTGTTACTCTTCCAATTGTATGCAAAGTACAATTTAATTAAAAAATAAGTTATCCATAAATCAAATGATGTTTATACTCTCAACCTGAGAAAAAATGTCTCAAAAATAAATCTCATCTCCATCTTCCAATATTACCATCCAGTGAAACATGATGCTGTTTAAATTGTTTAAATAGTCTGAAGTTGTCTTACTGTATGTTGTGAATTTGTCTTTCAGCTTGTTTAAGACAGCCATGGAGGACTCTGCCGACGTGAGTAAACAGGAAGTGAGGGTGATGAAACTGGGTGTGGGTCTGCCACTCAGCAGAGCATCAATAACAGTGTGCCTGTTGAACATTCAATATTCAAAACACTGAAGTAATGAATCTCATGTTCTTCTACCAACAGGAGCACTCAGGACAATCTCAACTTCATGAAATCTTACCAACCTCGAAACAAAGGAGTCAAACATCTCAGGATTCTGCTTCATGGACCGGTCGGTGCCGGCAAGTCCAGTTTCATAAACTCTGTTGAAAGTGCTTTGAGAGGCATTGTTACAAATCGAGCTTTGACGGATGCGACCTCTGGGAGCAGCTTCACCCTAAAGGTATGAACAACTGATGACTGTGGTGACTCAAATCTAAGATTATTCACCATTCTCTGTAAACTAAATTCCTTGAAGAAATTGATATTTTTTGGCAGCTCAGTTTCATTAAAAGATTACAAATAAAATAAAAAACATTTGATCAACATAGATTATCACTGAATAACCTCACTGAATAAAATGAAATAATTATTTTGTTGGTTTAGGAATGTCTATCTTAGATTTACCTGAACGATGCAAATTATTTCTCCTTCTTCTTCACAGTACCAAACATACAAAATTCAAAAAGATGATCAGAGCTTCTATTCTATTGTTTTCAATGACATCATGGGCTTGGAGGCAAACCTCAACAATGGAGTCCAGGTGGAAGATGTCAAACTGGCCCTGCGGGGACATGTGAGAGAGGGTTACAAGGTACACTCCTAAAACTTTCTCTTTTTTTGTTAAAGGGCCCTGTGGAGTTCACTTCAACAAGTGTTTTAAATGAATGCAAGCAGCACCCTCTGATGTTCAGAACAGCAAAAACCTGCAGTTCCTCGAGTTTCCACCAGAGGTGTGCTGCAGCTTAAATAATCCTAGCAAGGAGTCCTAGATGAGGAGTGATTTAGAAACACTCTCTTTGCGAGGAAGAGACAGAAACTTTTATCTTAATGAAGAGGCGTAGTTGACCCGGTTGACCCCGTTGCTAGGTATGACACTTTCTTCAGAAGCTGCGATTGGTTGAGTTCTCTCTCAGGGTGTTTTCCCATTAGGCATGTTTGTTTGGTACCGCGACCCAAGCACAAGGATTCGGGCCTGTGTGTGAGAAGCAAGTCTCTCAATAATAAAATGTAAAACTAGAATATGTAAAAAAAAGAGTGTGCTTTTTTTATTCACTGA